GAGGAGAGAGGAGAGAGGGGAGAGAAGGGGAGAGAGAGAGAGGAAGAGAGGAGAGCAGGAGAGCGGGAGGAGGAGAGGAGAGGATAGAGGAGAGGAGAGAGAGGAGAGGAGAGGAGAGAAGAGTGAGCAGGAGAGGAGAGGAGGAGAAGGAGAGGAGAGAGGAGAGGAGAAGAGAGAGAGAGGAGAGAGAAGAAAGATGAATGAGATGAGATGAGATGAGATGGATGAGATGAGATGAGATGAGAGAGATGAGATGAGATGAGATGAGATGAGAGAGATGAAGATGAGATGAGAGAAGAGAGAAGAGAGAGAGAGAAGAGAGAGAGAGAAAGAGAGAGAGAGAGAGAAGAGAGGAGAGAGAGAAGAGAGAGAGAAGAAAGAGAGGAGAGAGAGAGAAGAGAGGAGAGAGAGAGAAGAGAGAGAGAGAGAGAAGAGAGGAGAGAGAGAGAAGAGAGGAGAGAGAGAGAAGAGAGGAGAGAGAGAGAAGGAGAAGAGGAGAGAGAGAGAGAGGAGAGAGGAGAGAGACAGGAGGAGAGGAGAGAGACAGGAGAGAGAGAGAGACAGGAGAGGGAGAGAGAGGAGAGAGGGAGAGACAGAGAGAGAGGGAGAGACAGGAGAGAGGGAGAGACGGAAGAGGAGGAGAGACAGAGAGAGGGAGGAGAGAGGGAAGAGAAGAGGGAGAGAGGAGAGAGGAGGAGAGAGAGAGGGAGGAGAGAGAAGAGGAGAGAGAGAGGAGAGAGAGAGAGAGGAAGAAGAGGAGAAGAGGAGAGAGAGGAGAAAGAGGAGAGAGACAGGAGAGAGGGAGAGACAGGAGAGAGAGAGACAGGAGAGAGGGAGAGACAGGAGAGAGTGAGGAGAGAGAGATAGAGGAGAGAGAGAGAGAGAGGAGAGAGACAGGAGAGAGAAGGAGAGAGTGAGGATAGAGAGATAGAGGAGAGAGAGCAAGAGAGAGAGAGAGAGAGAGAAAGGATAAAGAAGAGCAAGAGAAAGAGAGAGGAGAGGAGATAAAGAAGAGAGAGAGCGAGAGAGAGAGAGAGAGAGAGAGGATAAAGAAGAGAGAGAGCAAGAGAGAGAGAGAGAGAGGATAAAGAAGAGAGAGAGCGAGAGCGAGAGGAGAGCGAGAGAGAGAGAGAGAGAGAGAGAGAGAGAGAGAGAGAGAGAGAGAGAGAGAGAGAGAGAGAGAGAGAGAGAGAGAGAGAGAGAGAGAGAGAGAGAGAGAGAGAGAGAGAGAGAGAGAGAGAGAGAGGTTTTCTCAAATATCTTACTATTTATTTATGCAGACTGTTAATTACTTGAAAAAGTAGTGCTAGAAGTACTGTTTTATAGTCATCTGTGTCCATTGCCAAAATGTCCAATAAATTAATCAGGAAATATTTAAAAGACATATAAACATAGTGAAACTCTACCTACTAATTCAAACATATCCCCATCTTGCAGCCCAAATGTAGAATCATTATATACAGTATGCCATATATGCATGGAAATGTTTTACTTTTTATGCTGTGCAATATTTTCTTTCATAAACCACACTTAATATACATATCCATGTTTCTTTGCATCGCCTCTCCACATTACACATTAGATTAGGATGTAAATAATTATCACAATACCAGGTTGTCAAAGGATTGGAACAGACAGATGAAAGGCATACAAAGAGACTCGAGGGGCCTTGTAACAAGAAATATAGCATTATTTTTACATGTACCACTAAACTGTAATACTGGAAATTATAACATATATATAGTATATATAGGTCACACCTTGGAAGGAGGTAGCCCTAATACATAAATGGGGAAGGTTTTTGATTACTGATGCAATTTCAGTGTCACAAATAATCTCTGAACTCTCAAACTATTGAAAATTGTATATCTTGCACACTATTCTTATGTCAGAGAGGATGACTACTTTCTAATCTGATTAACCTTTTTGATGACACCTACTTGGTGTCACTTTTTCAACTGGCTCTTTCTCGTGCCTGACTATGACAGTGTGCCAGACATGGGCTTGGTCCTGGACCACCTCCTCTCTTATGCCTGCCCACCCACTGGCTTAAAAGCATTACAGTTTCAGCATTATTAGTTAAGAATTCTGAGGTTCCCCATTAGTTTATAGATCCATTTACTTATCTTTACATATTTTTTGTTTTGTATTAAAAGGTTAACAATACTACAACTAAAACAATAAAATCTATACATAATAATAATGATAATACTACTAACAATAATATGAAGGAAAAAGGAAGAAAATGTTAAAGAAACAAAAGATGCACTTAGGTAATCTACACTACATCTTTATTCATGCTTTCTCTTAAAAATATATATACAAGCATTAATATGTGTGTGAGTATATACTACTGCATGTGTGCCCACATCTATGTTTGTGTTTCCTAGAATCCATTCCATCTGGATATATAGGAGGTCATGATCCCTTTTGGTTGTGCTATAGATAGGAAACATGTTATCATACTGCATGTCATCATTTCATGTCTCACTCTTTAGCTGGTATATATAGTAACATTTATGCATAATAAAAGAATGCTTAATGCCTTTTTCTCTACTTATTTTTTGATGGAAATATTCATTCATACAATATTGGATGTGCTTTTGGAAATATTGAAACATAAGAAGAGTCTGCAGCTATAAAATGACCAAGTAGAAGTATAAGACTAGCTGAAAAATGTTTATACCACATTTTACTCATTTACTCATTTTTACATTATCTCTGATGAATGATCATTATGGTTACCAGAGTCATTGCAAAAGTAAAGCAAAACCAAAGTCTGAGCCGTTTAGTTTTCTTAATAAAAGAATTTACAACTGTATAAGCTTCAATCACTCTACATCCCCTGATCACAATCACTGATCAAATGACCATGTATGTGATGCATGCAATGGCTGGAGACTATGTGCTGCTGCCACTAACCTCTGTTTCAACAGAAACATGGAATCTAATTATAATATAACTTTTCCATTGACACATTCCAATATTAATACAATCAATACTGCATGACACAATGTAATTATTAGTTGATGAAAATGTAAACTTCAGAAGTACTGTTGCTCAAATTATGAGAAAACATGATCATATTTGCCAGTGTTAATGTAACTAATAAAGTATGAGAAAAGTAATTATGACTATTAATATTGTATACTTGAAAAGATATACTAAACC